GGGCTTTCTGTGGGATTTAATGTTTTTAGCTGTTTTTATGTTTTCTCTAGTTTTGTATGCCACCCAGAGTCCACTGAAGTTGAGTAGCCAATAAATTTAAATAAATAAATAAATTACATGGAGAGAAAAAAGGAAGAGACAGTGTGAAATGAAGCATAGATACAAGCTACTTAGGTTTTCTACCTGTGTGATACAAGCAGGTAGAAAACCTAAATACGTGATACAAGCAGTTTTAATTATATGTGTGAGAGTAAACACTCAACGTTTTTTATTCACTTTGGAAATATTGACAACAAAATACAAAAGAAAGCATTTAAGTTTCATCTGTGAAACAGAGCAGGTCTAAATAATTCAGTGGGTCCTTTTAGGGGAGCTGCTTTTGTTTTAAACGCATGTTCTGTAAGGATGCAAAAAGGAGGATATATCAGTCTGTTTGAGAATTCTTAAAAGAATAAACCTATTGGTCCTGGTAACAGAACAGGAAAAAGATAATACCATCATCAGCATCAGCATCGGAGGAGGTGGTGGTGGTGGTGGTGGTGGTGGTAATACGTTGTTGGGGCTATGTAAATGACAAAGAATAGAACTGAATTATTTGTCCTCCTATCCTTATAATGCTGTCCTGTTTTGTTCTTTTCTTCCTTTGTGCAGAGGGATCTTTTCCTATGAGCCAGCGTAGCTTCCCACCCTCTTTCTGGAACAGCACGTACCAACCTTCTTCTGTGCCTGCCTCTTTGGGCAGCCCGCTGGCAGCTACTGCCCACAGTGAACTGCCCTTTGCTACAGCGGACCCTTATTCTCCAGGCTCGCTGCACAGCCACCTTCATCAGGGGGGCCCTGAACCTTGGCACCCAGCCCACCATCACCATCATCACCACCACCACCACCCATACATTGGTACACAGAGCTCTGCTTACCCCCGGCCCACCACAGTGCATGAGGTCTACAGCCCACATTTTGACCCTCGCTACGGCTCGCTGTTGGTGCCTGCTGCTTCTGTGCGTCCCCACCGCCTCACTCCTGCCTCAGTGCCCACGCCAGTCAGCCCTCAGTGTGAGCTAGGCAAGAGTGAGCCTGCCACATCGTCATGGACAACACCAGCTCCTTTTGCTGGTCCTGCAGGAGAGATGGCACAGAGCTTAGGGCTGAATGTGGAGACAGGTAAGACATGGCAGGTCCACTCTTCTTTCTTTTCCTCGCATACCGAAAATCCCCTGTATTCAAAATGAATGAGCAAATAATTAGGTAAACAACTGCACAGCTTGCCCACAGTGCATTTCCTATGCCACTCCAGACAAAACTGTGGCTTATCACAGAAGAAACTGACCCGCCACATTTCTTTCTCTCTTCTTCTCAATGACATACGATGCCCCGTTTTGAATTGTACAGAAGTGTCTACAGGATCCAATGCTTTTGTCAAACTGATGACACAAGCGTCATCACGCCATTGCCAAAGTTCTGCTCCTTTCATACATGCATGCAATATTGTAACACGTGTGCAAAAGGGACAGAACTTGTGTCATAACAGCATTACATTTATTTTGACATTTGCCCTCCCTTGCCCACCCCTGCAGACACCTGTGAAGTTACACCATTGCAAGAAGATGACTGGAGTCATACCTTGTGCTAAAGCAGGGACCATCACAAAAAGTGGGTGGGAGCAAAATAGTTTATTGTGATGAGATTTTTTGGTGTTTTGTTTTTAGTCCAGAGGCTTTAAGTGCAAATTAGGTACCCTAAGTCTTGCAGAGGCTTAAAGCACCATTTTAGCCCGTAAGAATCCTGACAAAAGCTCAAAATTGGAATTCTTCTTTCTATCGCATTTGGAACTGTAGCTTTTGGCAAAGCCCAGTGGGGCCCTGAGCTGACAAGAGTCCTGTACCCCTGTATTAAGCTATCATGTGGTTTGCGTGGTTGTGATCCTGGCAACAGAACAAGAAAAAGGTATTACCTGGAGTTTGGTCTGTTTTGTTACTCCAGCCATCATAACTTGCTAACCATGCTTTGTGGTTTAGCATAAGGTAGGAACCCAGGCACTGCAGCTTCTTCAAGAACCCTTGATTAAAACAAACCATGGCTTGCTTAACACAAGATGTGAACCAAGCTGTTGTGTTTCCTCAGCCCTCCCCACATCATTGGCTGTCCATGAGGGGACAAGGAAACACTCAGCATGATGATGACATCATGACTCATATTGCATCATGTTACCAGGAGGAGAGGAGAAACAGACAGAGCACCAGCAGTGTGAGGGGTTTTTGTTTGTTTGTTTGTTTGTTTGTTTCTTTCTTTCTTTCTTTCTTTCAGTAACTGTCCTCAAACTCTACTGAATGATATTGTCCACTACTGTCAACTTCACAATAACCTTGCGAGTTAATCTGGGTTTTTTTTATATTTCCTTTGGTCAAGAATCATCATGGCAACTATTTTTAATGCCAGAAATTATGTAAAAATCTGAGTCTTGGCACTTTTCTATTTTTTTTTTTTTTTAAAGGTGACTCATTTGTAAACAACTGTCAGAATACAGTATATGAGGCACTAATGTTTAGGTGGTAGTAACTTGCCCAGTGGTTGTGCTAACAACATCTTAGATTTCCTAAATTCTCGTATAAGGTTAATCCATATGGACCAGCTGTTCCTCCTCATTTCGCACTTCTTCTGAAAAACAGTTCTTATACTTTAGGTAACTTACTTATTTTTGCAAGCATGTGGGGGGTATTTGGCTTTTTCTATCCTTATTTCATATCTTTTCTCTTCCCTTTTTAATTTCTACCTTCTCTCTTTCTTTTTCTTTCCTTTTCTCTCTGTTCTCAGGTTTGCAGCCTCAAGATAAAAGCAAGGATCTCTACTGGTTTTAGATCTGCCCTTCTACCGTCACTTCCCCTCTAGTCAAACTTTTGCCTATGTAGGAGTGGGGACAAAGCCAAAGTCAAGTCAATTTGTAACAGCTTCTGATCTTGGTTTTCAGCTCACCATTATTCCTTCTGTGCTGGATCACTCCTGAGCTGAGCTGCTGATTATAATCCTCCCTTCCTACACAAAAATGCCATCTTCGTTCCTTGCCTCACTATTCTGATACCAGCATCTCACATCGAGACAAGAACAGAAGAAAGGTGATGGAGGCTAAAAGCTTGTTCAGCTTGGCTTTTCAACAGAAAAATAAGGTGCTGGGACATACGTGGGAACTCAGGCCCAGTCTTCTCCTAAAAGGGCAAAATTGAACACAGCAGCTTCACATCCAGAACTGCGGCTAGGCTGCTCAAAAGAACTGAGTAAAATGAAGGAGGATGTGAAAAACATTGACATTAGGAAGCTGAAGGGTTTGTTAATATTGTTGAGGACATAAATCATACTTACCATTTGGCATTTAAAAAAAAAAACTCTTTGGAAGCAGCATGGAAGATATTCAGACATTGTGAATGGGACTTTTGTCCTTTGCTGCTTAGAAGCAAAGAAAGAAATTCTAAACTCTTAAACACATTTGGGACATTTTTTTTTCCAAAAACGGATGGATCTTTCTGACTTCGGCATGGTGATGAGTGGCAAGTGACTAGTGTGGGCCACCTGCCTCCAGGCTTATACAAATGCAGCTGTTCAAGAGACAACTGTTCCAACTCCAGGAACTTGACAATCAAGGTGGCACTTCTCCGAGTTTGGCACAAAAATTGCATTGGATAATACTTGCACACATAGTTGTATATATAAGTTTTTTATATAAAAAACATTTATGATGACAGAAAAGATCCTTTAAAAAGAAAAAAAAACTCTGACAGCTTTCAGGAGAAACAACTGGAGTAAATGGGAGGGGTGGGCTAATGGGGTAGACAAAGGAATTCTCTGAATTGAATGTTCCCTTATGACTTTTTGTAGCAACCAGGAGATTGTCTCTCCTCTCTCTTTTTTGTTTTGAAAAGGATATACAGTATAAGAAGTGTTTATTTGTAGGGAAGATAATTAAAGATGTCTTCTTTCACTTTTGATTGCATGCATTTTATGAAGTAGAGGCTGGAGATTTCAGAGGTCCATTGGGAATCCCAACTCTCCCCATTTTTTAATTTCAAAAATTCCATCGGTTTGCTGGTTTGCTTAACATTGATTTAGAGACCATCTGGATCAGACCAAATAGCAAATTAGTTCAGTATCTTGTTTCCCACCACAGTAAAACCTGCAGATCAGACATGGAGAAAACAACCCATAAATAAGATATAGAGATGCAACAGCCCTCTCCTATTGTCTCCAAGCAACTGTTACTCTGAGATAGGATGCTTCTGATGCTGGTGGTGACATACAGGCATCCTGTTTAGCAGCAACTGATAGTCTTATCCTTCCTATCACTTCATTTATTCAGTTTAGGCACCACCTGACTCAAACTGACTCTAGATGTACAATAAACCAAACAAAATAGGAAAATACAATATAATAAAATTATAAAATACAAAGGAATAAGAAAGGGGGGAAAAAAACAAGAACAGATGGCATGTCTGACTAACAACACCTATACCCTCAAACATATCCAACAAGGGCACTGACCACCTTACTCCAAGGCCTGGGAGAACATTCAGGTGTTCAGGGCTTTCTGGGATGTTTTCAGTGTGGGAGCCACATAGACACCACAGGAGATGGGCAGTTCTTCAGATAACCAGCCCTTACGCCATGTAGGACTTTATAGGTCATAATCAGTATCTTGAATCACCCCTGGAAGCTAACTGGCAACCAGTGCAACTTGGGGAGCAAAGGCGCCACATGGGCATACCTAGGCATGTCCATCACTGCCCATGCCACCTCATTCTGGACCAGTTTCCAAGTGGTTTTCAAGGGCAGCCCCATGTAGAGCACATTGCAATAGTCAAGCCCTGAGGTGACAAGGACATGAGTGACTTTTCCTCCTAATCCAGGAAAAGATGCAATTGGTGCACCAGATGAATAAAATTCTTTTTAAAAGCTGCCTAAGGTTATACTTCCATATCATAATGGTATCAATAAGTTCCTTTTTCCCTTACCTTGCACCTCCCACTTTGACTGTCATGAGGAAACACGTCTATCCATTATCTCCATACTATGCATCATTTTTAATCTATACTTTCTAAACTTAAAAAAAGTGGAGTAGACTTTCCTCAGAGGTGGGTTGCTTTTACCATTTGGTTGTTCTCTAATTCCCTGCCTGCGATACAGCACTCTACTTGAGAAGGAAGTGTTCCAAGTACTATTTTGTACAAAGTCATTATGCTATTGACAGTGTTGTAGTTTTTATTCCTAGCATTTACTAGCCTTTACTGTCCTGTTTACCCCCCACCTATATACTGTATACAACTGCTATATTTTACATATTTCCTAGGACCTTATCTGGTGATTCGTATGAGGCTAAGTTCTTATGAGGGTATATTTGATGTTAAATATTATTTTATCTTGTTCCATTTGCCTCACTTAGGTTGCATTGTTACACACTAATGAGAATAAGCTGTGTTGAATGCCATCCGATGTGCCTCTAAGAAAGCATGCATAGGCTTGTACAGCATTTTTCCCAGAAATGGCTCTAAATACTCAATTCCAAATGAAGAAGGCTTTGAGCTGAAACTTTAGGGCAGTTGAAATTGAAATTTGATGCCCCCATGTGCTATTTGTAGTAGGTGACACTGACCACAGGTGATTTATTGGTCTCTACCTGCATTGCAGTTTGTTGGTGGTATCCTGTCTTTTCAGTAAGCATGGTAGGATTATTCAGGCTGCATAGAGAGTACCTCTAACTTAACATAGTGGCTTGTATTTTATTCAAGCATTTATCGGTCTGTACTATTGGTGTACAATTGGGATGGACAATTTATTATCTTACTGTACTGAAATTCAATTTTCAGCAAGCTAGGTAGTGAGGGAGATTCAAAGTGGTAGTTTAGGAACAATAAGAAGGTCACAAGTTGCCTTTCCTTGGTGTAAAAGACTCTTGTGATTTCCACCAACTTTTTTCCCTCTACCCATGCTGTCTTTTTATGTGGCTGGACTGGAGACATTGAGCTTTTTCCTGCCTGTCTTTTCTCTCCTCCAAGTCTAGAATAACAGAAGCAGTTAATGATATGAACCTTAGTAGGTTATCACTCCCTATTTTATAGTAAACTTGGCAAGATGAGGTTTCCTCCACTCCGAACCTTTGTAATCTCTCCCATCTTCACCCAGTTTCACATCTTGTCTTTGCTGGAAATCAGAGGTAGCTAAAAGGAACTCCATACTTCATTGTGTTTCAGATGTTTCTTCATCTAGTTGTAAACTCAGTAGCTGTTCTAAGATCAGTGTTTACAGAAGCCAATCACTGCTCTCCATTGCAATATAATTCCTCATCCTAAGAAAGGCACCACAAGCAAGACAAGCATTACTTCAAAAGAGTCAACGAAAGCTTTCCCCAAGGTGACTGAACTTTGGATCTTATCTGAGCTTTCCCTCTGGCTATAATTCGGCTCCAATTTATGAGATATGGAATACAGCCAAACAGAAATAGAGACTTGCCAGGGGTTCAGCTTAAGAATGGGTATCTGGAGCTTTGCAAGAATAGGAGGTGATAGGTACATGGCATAATTAGTTTAACTAGATAAGTGTCTGCTGAATCTCCTTCTTAGCTAAGTGTTAATTACGAGTTCCTTTCAATGTTATAAATGTCCAATAGAGCAACTTCAGTAAAGAGAAACGTGTGCTGACGGAGCATAGATCACCAACTGTACATTCAGCTTTTGTTCCTTGTGCTGGTGACAAAGGCACCGGTGGTGGGGGGCATGGAGCTGAGGCCAATTACACAGATCATTCTGCACAGTCTGAATGCTTTTTTTTCTATCTCATGTAAGAAGTTGCCATAATATTTGAAAACATGCCCAGTTCAGCATGAATTGAAGAAGGCAATGGACAGACTAATGAATTTATTTTCTTAGTTTACCCTTTAAAAATCAAAACACAGGCATTCAGTAATGGAGCTGAAAAACAACACCAAAGCTCTTGCTAAGAGAGGAAATTCTAAAAATATAACATATTTTGGATGTTTTGCTAAAATATGTACACATTGAGGTTTCTTCAGGGGAAAATACTTTAAATATTGTATTCAAAAGAAAGAATTGTAGTAATATACATATCTTGTATTTCAAATAGTCAAAATACTCCATGTGGGGGAAGGCCAATATGATCTTCATATTGTGGAAGGGAGGGGAGAGATTGCATAGCAATTTCATAGCTTAAAGTAGGATTTGGACCAATTCAAACTCCTGGGCTAGATCAACGTGCAGAAAAGTTGTCCAGCAGGGAGAAACAGACAATAATTTTCAAGCTCAGCATAAGATCAACTTTAAAACATTTTCTCTGGAGGAAAAGTTAGCACAAAAGGCAATCCATTTGAAACAGAGAGACAACTCTTAGTCTGGGCTGTATTTTGGGAAGTGGAATTGTAATGAAAGATTGTTCTCAAGAAGCTTCTTTTGCACAGACTAGGAAAAGAACACAGATGACAATTTAAGGATATGCAGAAGTCCTGCTATTATAGTGTAAACCCTTTCTTTAAGCACCTACACAGATGCACAGATTTTTACTTGTTTTCTCTACGCAACTGTTTGCATGGGCTTTTGCGTTTGGCCAAGCTGGTTTCTAGAAATCCCAGGATTAGCATATTTTGGCTTCAAAAATCCAGATTACCAGTAGAAGGCCGCAAACAAACACAGGAAACCTCAACTCTTTGCTGCCATCTAGTGGACCACTAATATGAATGCAGCCAGCCAGGAAATATCTGGCCTTGATGAGCTCAGCCTCCTATTAGATCCATGCAGGCAGTAAAGATGAAAGCATCATCATGATTGATAATATGCTGCTTATTCAAAGCTTTCCAATATTC